GGTTCTCCATGAAAATGCTGTCCCAGACGCCCTTGTATCGAAAAATAAGCGAGAGGTTGCACAAAAGGGTAGAACCTCATTCAATCAACTTGATACCGGAGCCCCAACTCACGGCATGCTGTGGCAATAACATTCGTAAAAATGTTGGGTATCCGATTCCATATTCATAAACATAGGACTAATTCAAGTGTATATTTCACTTACTCAATATGGAATTGAGAAATGGTTGGCTGAGCTGGAGGACTGTCCCGCCGTTCCAAGTTGTGTACAACCTTGACATCCATTAATCTATGATTCTGTTTGGAACGTGTGACTTCCAGTTCACCCACCAATACATCGCCATTTCTTGTGTTGATGGGAGGATGCAACAGGAACACCTGTTCAGCAACAACACAGCCAACATCAGATTTCAAGCTCATGAAATAGTTGAACAAATATTCCTTCCCGAAAAACAACGTGCCGAGAAATAAATAAATATACATCTACAGAGAAGCTCAAAAGTGGTCGATGCACATGTAGTTTTTGGCGTTCAACATTGTGCTTCCTTCATCAATCTACTTAACCTTTTCTTTTGAGACTTGAGGGATTGTTGAATGGATCTGTGCGTTTTTGAGAAGTGATTAAAGTGACCATCTTGCTTACCGCTTCAATGCTGTGCGGTGATGGCAACAAGTCGGAACACTCATTATGGTTCCAAATGTATATTGCGTCGAAACCCAGTGTGGCACTGTTGTTTTAGTACTAGGACCAGATTCAAATATCTTGGGTGACTTTCTCCAAAGAGTAGAAGTGCACACTTGCCATTTTTGAGGTTGTTCAATTATTTTAGCATCCTTTAGGATGATGTGAATGTGCTTGGTACTATGATCTTTGGCTTAAGTAAGGAGGATTAAAGGTTATTCATAATAATAATTAAGATTGAAAAGACATTATGATATATTTCACTCTAAATAACTGGAGATTAATAATTTATTATATTTAAATTTTAATAAAATTAAAATTTAATAAAGAATTATATAAAATACTTCTAAATTTAGTCTTATATATGATAATCTATAATATTTGAGTTTGTGCAATATCAACCCCTTGTCAAGTATTTGTTTGTTGCCTAAAGGCAATAAATAAACGATATATGGCAAAGTTAGGACTCAACTTAAATAAATATTTTTTTGTATAGCTTGTTGTGACAAGTTATATAAAAGCTCAGAGTCCTTGTTAAAATATTTTAATAAACCAATGTATCTCGAGTCTAATTCTTAGTGGCATTTTTCATCAATAATATTATTGAATTATTGATTTTCTAAAAACACATTAACTTTAGTAATTGCTTTTAGCACTTCTTTTCTTTTGGCTATTCTACCTTTTCTTAGGTTGCACACATCACCTTTAGGCTACCAACTTATGCACACACTGAATTTTGTTGAACTTGCAATAATCTATTTATTTAAATTAAACATGATTTTAGAAATCCATCTCCCTTAATTCTCTACTTTAAAAATTGTTTTGTGGTGGCTATTAGTAAGGGAGGATCAACTTAGGTTGATTTTGTCTCCAATATTGTTACTAATATTGTCATTGTTAGATTTCTTTTGTGTATGCTTTAAAAACATATGCACAAATATTGGATTGATATTTGTATCACATATTGTTGGTTAGTAAACTTCAATAATATAAAACTCCCAAAAACAATAACCCCAGAATAAATGCGAAACAGTTGCAAAAGATAAAAGGAAAGGTAAAAGGTATAAGAAAAGGCAAAAGACGAGTTTAATGCTGAGAAAACCCTAAATAGAAATTGCATTTAAGAGGAGGGTGCTGATCATTGCTGAGGTTCAGAGTAGAGTGCTGTTAATTGCTGGGACCCTGACCTTGATATCAAAACCTCAATATTCCAAACCTGACTGATTTAGAGTTGTCTAGCTTTGCTCTTGCTTCAATAATACTGTTTCATAAACACAGGTCACTTTGAAGTTGTCCTGGTTGTGTGTCCACAACATTTATAGATAGTTGATAAATGATTGTCATGATTATCATTGTTTAAAGCTGGTTCACAAGTTGGGTTCACTTACCACAAAACGATGATGTTTTTCATAGGAATTTTCATTTTACTGTCATTTTTAGTGAACTTTATTTTCCTTAATATCATGGATCTGTGTACCCAAATGTAAAGAGCTTGTAGGCCCTTGTACGCTTTTCTACACAACGAAGACAGTTCTAATACATGTCAAAAAGTTTATGCAATTGTCATGTTATTAATTCAGTAATTTTCTACTTGAACAATATTTAAATTTTTTATATACAAAGAACAGGCTACTTTGTTTTTGTACAGGATGGGAACAAACGCCTGTGCGAACAAACAGCCACCGACAGAACGACGACTTTTACTGTGTGATTCAAGTATCCTTGTCACCGAAGTTGTACATGTCGAGGATCATACAAGCTACAGACCAGAAGCAAAAGATGCCCTTTATCATCTGAGTTGCTTGCTGAAAGGTGGCTACCGCCGGAGATCAGGTTGATTGCTACTAAAGAGTTTGTTACATGTCCACAATCATCGAATAGGGTAGGATCAACCAACATCGACATGTAACTGACTTGTTACTGATATGGGTTCTGCCGAATTCCAACATGGCTAGACTTGAAAGTATGGACCCATATCAGTTACTTTTCTTCACACGTAGTTTGTCACTACATTAGCATCATCCGGAGTAGCAGTGGTTAATCTTTCCAAAGAGTTTGTCTACGGTCGTTCACAGCCTTGTAGGTTACTAGTTTCGATTTGCATGATTGAGTTATTTCAGTTTATTGCGACATTCTGTGAGATCAACGATTCCTCTCGACGTGGCACAACGGCACCAGGACCGGATCACAGGTCAGATGAGGCAACTCCGTGATCCGACTTATGAGGTTTGTCATTGATACATATTGTGACAACATGATCTCATGAATGAAGCGATGAGCATGAGAACACATGAGCTTGATACATTGTTTGGTTCAGAAGTACGACCGAGTGGGTTTCTTTCTACATATTTACTTTCAATTTTTAGTTTATTTTGGTGAACTGGATCTTTCAGCAAACTGTTGGTTCACATTTCTGACGCTTGGCAAAGGTCATGCAGGTCGAAAGTCGCAATCGTACAGACATGGCAGAAATCGACTGGTGATAAGGGTGTTGGTTTATTCTGTAATAAATTTAATAAAACAAAAATTGTAGAAACCGAACTAGAATAACAAATACGATTTCCTTGAAGGTATAATTGGGAAAGATGAATCGCATGAAGAAATCTAACCGAGTTTGAGTCACCAAATTGAGCATTAACGTCGAGAAGCTGATCCAGCTGCGTGTTGCTCGATTCAACACACAGTAATTGGCTATGAGGTGATGGTTTTTGTTTGCCTGTGGTCTTTCAAGTGATATGCTACTATTTGCAGTTGTGCACAGACACTCAATTCTAGACGTTGTAAATTTAACTTCTCCTCAAAATTATCGGTGGATTCGCTGTTATCGTTTTAGATTCTGAGCTAGATTTTCTTCCAAATTATGGCAGAAATCTTGATTCTTCCAAGAGATCTTAACTACACTGTCGTCTCTGAGATCTCTCTAGTTGCTGTTATGAGTCGACAGACATGAAATCGAACTGAGTAACAAGTATGGTTTATAATCGTTCGCATTCTACTATTTCTCGAGGCCATGTGCCACAGGACCACTTTATCTTCGTGATTGGATATTCCAGTAGTCTGAATCTCTACAGTTGTTTAGCATAGTAACCCAATAGTAGCAGCCGAAGAGATGTGCTTCGATATCACCGAAAACTTATTTCCATTTACAATGAGTGGATGTTCCTCTTCTGCTCTGACCAGTATCATATCAGCTTCTTCTTCTTTCTTGTTTTAGCAAAGCTACTGCAGAGCACCACACATAAACTTGTGTTTATTGTCGCTTTATCATCTCATATCCAGTTATTACGCTTCTCATATCCAATTTTGGGCTTGGAGCGTCATTGCGCATGGCGTTCTCGATGGATCTGCTCTCTTTACTTCGAGTCTCGAGTCGTCATGTATTTGTGTCGAGAATAATGAATCTGTTGCTTGCACTCGTCGTGATGACAACATACATGAAATATGGACTGCTTCAAGTATTGGGATCTGCAATTGTAAAGCAACACTGTTATGCAGTAATTTGATCATGGGTCTCTTCTCTATTACTAATCTCACTTCTTCCATGCTGAGGCCAGGTGGACGCTGTCTCGCAAAAAGTTGAGAATTATTTTCCAGCATGAATGGCATTGGCGTTCCCTGCCACTCTCTGCATCACCTGTTGAACTTGAATGTGTGAAGCTGTGCAGGGTGTTTTTGATATGTCAAGAGCATTTCGAGGAGATGAAAATCACGCTAATGAATCTTATGTGTCAAATAGTTCTTTCCTCGAGGATGATACTTAGTGCAACCTTGGATACTTCAAAATTCAACGGAAACAACGCAATGTCGAGGAAACTGTTTATTGTTCGGGGTAATCGTGTGGGTTAGGATCGCGCTGAGCTATTCTGAGGGAGCGCTTTCGCTCTCACTCTCATTGGTGATCGTCTTACTCCGCTCGCCCTCCATCATCAACCTGCAACCGAACTATGACCTTGTCTACAAAACCTGCAATTAGTTCCAGGAATATCACCGACTTTCCATAACGTCAACTGGGTACTTAGCCTTCACCAATGTGCATTAGATTGGTGTTTTCTGTAACGATGCTCGTATTCTTCAACGCAGATCGTTGCACAAAGAACCTAGTGAGGATCGTCCCTTCCACTTCAACCAATTCAAACTCTGCCTGCTTCATATGTTGCTGTTCAAGTTTGCACGAGTGGATGAACAGATTATGGATGATAAGTATTCATCATTCATCCAAATGGGAGGCTCTAGCCCCTTGCCTGCGCAATCGAGGCGGGCAGAGTTGGCCCGGGCTGGGTGGGTGAGGCCGTACCCGCGCTATGTAGACCCGGCCCGTCTGATCGTCGTCCTCTTCGTTTACTGACTCCTCCACGCCTTGCACCTTTCACCTCGGGGTGGAGCTCTACTATGTATGATTGTCCTAAGCAAGGACGTAGTCGGATTTTTTCGAAGATTTTTGCTGATAGCTGGCGTTTCTAATGTGATCGACACGAAGTCGAGCGGTGTACAAACTTGAGGGGGGAGCTTCTTGGTTTGTGTGGGAGGGCTAACCTAAACTTCTCAGGCAGCAGGTTCAGTTTCTTTCTGGAGTCGGAACCTGCTGTTGCGAAGCGAGTTGTTGAACTAAACTGCAGAAGCCACTCGGCCGCGGATCTTTTCTGCAGCACGAGTTGGTGAAGAAAACACGAGAGTCGCTTCAGGCTGTTTGTGTCAGAGCGTTGCTCAAATCTGTGAGATCAATTACACGTTGGCCTGTCGGTGAATTTGCGCAGTATAGTAGGCTATAAATTGGTGTCGCTCGTCAGGCTGGCTGTGTTGGCAAGCATCTGGTGTTACTAGACTGTACCCGTGTCTGCAGGTTGTTTTGTGAATGAGTCATTAGAATGTACCAGTTGTGCAGACTGGATGCAGCGAGTGTTGAGCTGGAGAAAGCTCAACGATTGGAATAATAGCAACACGAGGAAATGATTGGGCTTCTAAATTCGCTGCAGTATGCCATGCGCTTGCAGCCTGACTGCCCGCACATTAGCGCCGTTGCAAACAGTGTTGTCAAAGTCGATCAACACTTTGCAGTTCAAGAATGCTACTCGACGCCGTCTTGGATTGTGCTCTCGGCGCGCCTTCACTCTCGCTGTTATCAGCATTTTACTCTTTCACTGGCCTCTTTTCATTTATGTAAAGGCGACACAAGCAGGTTGGCCTTGCATCCGCGTTTCGCATATTGATTCAGAGTGGCCTATGAGGTCTTGTTTGTGCAGACCGGGTTTGATGAGTTGGCGGTGCTTTGGTATACGTGAATCTATGATGAGAAAACTCTATCAATGCTTTGTGGATTAACGCATAGACACAACTTCTTGACATTACAGACTTGGCGAGCATCCTTGAGTCTCATGACAGTCACGTTAGGAGCGAGCACGACGCTGATCTCAACAATGAACAGGAGCGAGGAGATGCTGAGGGCAGGCTAAAATTTTGGAATCGCAAGTTCCTTCGAGGTAAAGAGTCTTCCATCTTGACTTCGTGATATGACCAGGAGATCGATTCAAGAAACCTTCAGTTATATTTCAATGAAATTTTAGTAAGGTGCTATTTCCAACTACAAACGAAGCTATCAATTTGTCTCAGTGCACCAGTGCTTTAGTTGGAACCGAGAAGTAAGTTTGAACTTGCCATACTGATAACTGTGTCACTGAACCATCTCTGGAAACACCTCGACTTCATAATGTCGTCACACTGATATCCAAAAGTTAGTTGAGGCCTCTCATTGACACTGATATCTCATGTGAGTTAGACTGTATTTGATTTGGACTTAAAGTGAGATGTTCCATAAGATTTTATTTATGTCTTCAGCCTTCAATTGTATAGATCTTCGGGATGTAAGGTACTGTGAAGTGGATCACTTCGCTGTAGCTTCCGGTCACACTGTAATAATCTATCTATTGGTGTTTATCTTTAATGAAAATTGTAGGAAAGGACCACATGAGTTGCTGTCAGGATGCGCACCTACAGATTCAATGAGTACCGTGATGTATATTGAACCGAACCACACAGTTAGCTATGAGCTGTTAGTAACATGCTAGCAGCTCTTCATCATTCCTTGCTGCTCGAGAAAACGAAAGCAAGATACGCACTGGCTACACACGCTAGTTATAAAATTCAGTCTGGTCAGGCCCATTCTGAGGTGAGGCCTCCAGTCATTATTAACATTGCAGCTATGAGACTGTGTCTAAGGTACTGTGCCTGGCTCACATTCAGGTACGGGGAGCGCCCACGACTCATCCAAAGTTTTTCACTTCGAGCTGCCAGATACTTCACTTGAGAGGGCCTTGCTTCATCCACGTAATGAAAATTTTGGAGGAATCTCAAGTTCTAATCGGCGGATGTTGATCCCAGCTAGTAAGTATACCATCCTCATTGGGCTTTTGAGTCGGTGGTATACATAGGTGTTCGCAGAGGCGAAATTTTTTGACATCTGTTAGACTGCTACAGGTTGGCTTTATGAGCGGGGTAATAATGTTAGTGCATGTGTGGCGTTATTACAGATGTATGAACCAACAAAGACATTAGCATTTTCTAGGCTCCTGATGGTTCTTCTGGCATACCCCGCTAATTCGTACAGATAGTGAATACTTGCATGTCTGACTGTACTCCGTCACAAGTGGGTGTGATCTGTGGTTGGTTTCCGTCAGCCTTATTAGTAATTCTTAACACTTTCCAGCGACTCGCATATAATGATTACCTCATGAATGAAGGGAAACCTCTCAAGAACGACCAGATAGTGACATTCACATCTGCGAATTCCTTTGTGTATCCTTTCCAGATTTACATCTACTAGTTTTTGTTAACAAAATCCCTAGGCGGCGTTAGGAGAAGTCAATATATCTAACCTGGATGACAGGTTTTAGAATGCGGGACACTTGGTGCTTCTTATCAACTAAGAAAATGATCAGTTGCCTGTGTATGTCGTGTATATGGCAGATGAATGCACCAACAAAGACATCAGCATAACTCAAAGACGCGATGGGTCTCCGGGGATTCCTCGATTCAGTGTCCAGATAGTCAACACATGTATGTCTGATTGTGCACCCGCAGATATTCACGTGTACTGCGGCTGGTTTGCATCATCCCCTCCTCCCAATCCCAATGTATTCCAACGCGTTTCATACGACGACTGTCTGGTGAATGGTGGTCGTCCTCTGGGACACAGCACCATCATTCAGTTTCAGTATGCCAACTCCTTCATGTACCCACTCCAAGTCCGATCTGCCAGGTTCTGTAGATGAGACACAACCCTTGTGGTTCAGAAGGATAACATGATCTGGGAACACACCAAGCTCCCTGGAATGAGTATATGACCATCCTTATTGCTCGGCTCCAGTTCTGTCTGATCTTTGTTGATTGCTTTCTGTGACAAGTTCTGACTGGATCTGGCATGAATACTTTACATTGCGTACAGTATGCTGGAACAGAGACAACCAGGAATGGCCACAGAGACGCTCAGACTCATAATTTGGTATTGATGATATGATTGAGAGGAGCAGTGATGGACCTTTGAGAAACCTTCGTTGCGAGGGACCTGGGTTCTGCTAATAGAGTAGGATTTGAAATTGGTTACTGTCCTGTGAATTATTACGGATTGTGTGGTGAGGCTTTTTGAACTATTTGTGCCTAAAACGTTTAACCTATCAACTCATTCCTCTCAATTCTCAATGTGCTAAATGATAAAAATCTCTCTTGAGTGGAGTCTGTCGAATTCATTATGACAGGTGTTGAATGTTTTGTTGGATTTGGAAAGATTTTTGCATCATTCACACAAGTTGCAATTATTGGGTGGACAGACGGATGGATGATAATAGAAATTTTGGAAATGTTATTCAAATGTTTTAAGTAAATTTGTACGTTAATTTTTTGCATTTGTTTTCTCTTTCCTGCTTCTGAAAAATTGATCGATTTTTATTACTATTATTTATTATTTAATCAGAAATAGATTCCTAGAATTTTAAATTTCATTTAAGTAGCCACATTACATAAACTGTGGTCGTTTATTTATGTTTTTATTTTTCCTATTCAAATGTATATTTTTTTCCAATTTTTATATTACTTCAATTAACAATCATATTTGCACTTGCATACACTAACTAAGGCAGTAAAAGATTGGACTACACATTGTACATAGTATTGACAAAGTAAATAGGCATTCGATGACGTTCCTACTCCATTTGAGTAACTGATAGTTCTATCTATAATTATTTTTGTGGGTATATTATCAAAAAAAAAAAAAAAAAAAAAGAAAAGAAAAAGAAGCAAAGTTGATCAATAGACTGGCCTTTTTTTTAAATAAAAGATGATTCATTATTTTTATTATTATTATATTCATATATAATAAGATACAGATAAAATTCATATACGTACATATGTATATGCAAGCATATTTTGGTGTTTTTTCTACCCAAACATCTTAAAACTTTCTACAACCTTTTGAATGTATAGATATATTTGTCTAAAATCCAAAAACAATAAAGAAAGAATACATCTGTAATTTTTTTTGATATAGGTTGGATTTTAAAAAATATTATGTGCCAGAAAAATGTTATTCAGAAAATATTTTAAATTCTATAAAATTTAATGTTTTAGAATAATATTGAATGAATGAGTTTTTAATATAAAATTCATATTTTTTTATTGGGGTGGTAAATGTTAAATTATTTGAGTCATTCTAATGTTTTCCTCCGTTAAGGGTATCACCTCTCCCTATCAGAAAACGTTTTGAATATTCTTTCAGCTTTGAAATTGTAAAGGTTATTCTTTCAATAATCCTCACTCATCACAGGTTAATTTTTCGTCCGTTCGTCGACGTTCGTATTTCGTTCTCGCGTTCCTTTGTCAGCATCGTTATCCTCTCGTTTGTCTGCTCATTCGTTCGTCAGCATGCTTATTTTCGTTCGTTCGTTAGAACTTTTGGAGTGTGTGTGCCGAGCCCCAGTGTAGGCTCCGAAGAGTCGTTTTCTTCTTTCCTCTCCCTGTTTCGTAGATTGGAAACAGGAGCTATGGCGGACCTCCCCGGGGCAGGACCAACTGCCTCCTCCATGGCGGAGGAGGTCGATGGAGGGCAAGAAGAAGAAGCAGAAGCAGCAGAAGAAGAATCAGTAGCAGCAGAAGAAGAATCAGCAGCAGAAGTAGTAGTGGCAACATCGGGAGGGGCCGAAGAAGAAGCTAGAGAAGCCTCCGTCTCTGTGAACAGCGCCTCAGTGAGCTCGACGACGGGCATCAGTGAATTTGCAGCGGGCGAGAGCGCTGCTGCTACTGCTCCTACTGGTCCTTTCCAAGCGAAGTTCTCTTCATTTCCTACCTCTTTCGCTCCACCTCCTGCGCCTCGTCCTGTTCCATCCCTGTTTCCGAGCTTGGGGAATGTGAGTGATCCTTATGGTTATTTTTTGGATTGCAATGGTTTAGGTCACATTATGGGAGTTCGGGTGTATGTGTGCGTCACGGATGTTCCGTGTGGAAATTTGGAAGCTCGTTTGAACGATTTCGTCGTTGGTGTAGATATTTCAATTTAGACACGATCGACCGAGCCAATCGCAACCCTACAATGTGCAATTGAGCGAAAAATTCAAATTTCCGATTCGAATTACCTATCTCCGAGAAGTCGTCTGTGTAATCCGCTTGTGTAATGAAAGACGCTCATTCGTGAAGGCAAAATCCGAACGTGACATGCAGTTGAAATGTTTTTTGAAATTACACTACTGTGTGATTGAGGCTTTTCATATGTATCTTAAACTCAATTCTCGACCATTTCTTAGGTTCCGACTCTAGGTTTAGATAAGGATTCGCAATTTCGACCTAGTCATACAAACTCTTGATGAGCCGTCCAGTCTGTTTAAGTATCAATATTGTTTGAGAAGAATTTTTTTTATGATGCAAAATTTTACAGTGGCCAGTAATAGCCATAGCCGACTTGGTGACAATTCAAAGAAGTGCGGTATCGTTCATGACTTTTGGAATATTGCCATTCAGGTTGGCTCTAAACAGACTCCAGGGGGTGCACCTTCATGGTTATCCAATTCGAGTTTCTCTGAAAATTTACTACCTCCTCCCCTCAACTCCTTAGCTAGCAAAGGTAACAAACATCCTTATGGGAGGGATATCCTGGACGAAATTGAGGAAAAGGAGGGCAAAGGAGCAGTGAGGGAAAGATTCAGGGCTGAACTTGGGACCGAGACAGCAAGTTCCACCTCGGACTCAGACCTCAGCAAGGAAGACGAAGGAGAGAAATCTCGACGTAAGAGACGAAAGGAGAAGCGACGAAAGAGGCGCAAGGAGGAGAGGAAGAAGCGGAAGGAACGGAAACGAACTGGGGATGAGTTGCAGATTGGCACTCTAGATCAATCAGTTGACAGAAAAGCTGTCGTGAAAACCTGGGCTGATGGAAAAGTTAGTTTACCGAAAGAGTATTTTGTGGATACTCGGGGAGACCGCGATAACTTGGCATTTGGCTCTCTCTACAGGTACGCACTGCCATCTACATCGAGATCAGGGATATAGACGAATAATATACACAAGTCTATTATGTTTCAACCAAAAACAATTAGACATAGCGTTAATGAAACTGTGAGCGTATTGAGAGACTTGAAAATCCGATTGTAGAGGGTTCATCATTAAGCATCATCAAAGGGATTGGAAATTATCCTGATTGTGTTCGCTGGTTACCAGAATGGATATTGCAAGGTATGTTCGGCAGCAGGTTGATAGAGGTGAAGAGGGCACAAAGAAAAGATACGCCACATATTTGGATGTGCCAGAGCCTGACGGTGATGTGCAAGAAAATAAAGCGTATCGCTATTGGTCTGGCGAAGCCATGGCACTGGAGACAAGGCGCGATCTTCGGCGCATTCGAATACATTCCCTAAGACCTTCCGCAGCTACATTCAACAGTCGCCAGGATCTTGATACATTTATTCCGCTCGAGGAGAAGGATATTAAGAAGGTATTCGTTTAACTGCGTGAATGAGTGAGACCACTTGAAAGGATGAAATGCTCTGAATAATGTGAATTGCCTCATGTTTTGCTGCTATTTGTGCTCTGATGGCGATGCGTGCTCGACAAATTTCAGAAAGATGTAGGAGACGAGGATGAGCAAGAAGAGGGAGAAAGCTGGAATGATTATATTATTCGACGAACAAGGGAGTTTAACTCTTTAACCCGGGAGCGGCCTGATGATGAAAATTCGTGGCTCGAGTTTGCCAAGTTTCAGGTTGCCTGCATTTCCTTTCTATTATGCAATATTCCATCACAGATTGTTTATTACTTAGAAGCTTCAAATATTACTCATGGTATTGAACTAACAAATTTTTTTCGGCTTGGCAGGATGAGTTAGTACATATGGCGCAGAGAAAGGGTGTCAAGCAACAAGCTGTGGAAAAGAAGATATCTGTGTTGGAGAAAGCACTAGAGCATCATCCAGACAGTCTGCAATTAACACTGTTGTATTTAGAGTCCTGCAGGCTTCGTGACACTGTTCCGGAGATGCTTGCTAAGTGGGAGAAGGCGGCAATCTTACTGTCAGGAAGCTACCGATTTTGGAAGAATTTTTTGCAGTTCGTTTGTTCACAGTTCTCGCTCTTCTCTGTCGCGACTGTACGCTCAGTGTATGTTCAAGCACTTGGTTCTCTGACTGCGACACGTGATCGACTGGTGAGTGGAGTTGGCGCTTTTCTCTCCTGCATGATGAAAGACCCAAATGAAAGTAACTTTCATGCTCCTTAATCTACGTGAATACCTCAAGATCATGGTCACAGCAGGCACCTGGTATTTCAAAGGTGTCCATGACTTGGGCATTGTTATCTGCTTTGCCTGCTAAAGATTTTGAAATTGAAAGTGAGTGCTGTTCTTTGAGCGGACCTTAAATTGGGATGCTGTGAAACGTGCAAGTTGTAAATCAGAAATAATTTAAATAAGTTGTAAATTAGAAAACTGAGGATGTATGCTCATTCATAATTGATGAATTCGCAGAAAAATGGAGATGAGAGGGATACCGTTATTAAAGATGCTGAGCTAGCCATGGTATCCATATTGGCAGACAGATGTCGCTTTGAGCTACAGACTGGTCATGCCGAGTTGGGACTCGCCATATTTCAGGCAGCTATGGAGTACTCTTTATTTGTTCCTCTCATTCAGACGACTGAGAACAATAAGCGGAGGCTCTTTGAGGCATTTTGGGACAGTCAAGCCCCTAGAATAGGGGAAGAGGGTGCATTGGGATGGGCTTTATGGCTGGAAAAGGAAGAGGAGCAATTTCAAAAAGCTCGAGCACAGGAGGCTGAGCAGGAAGAGCAAGCACCAGGTACTCTAAAACTTCTCAAGCATCACTATCGGTATTGTTGAGAATTGTTTTAATGGTATGGGAGAAACAACAGCGGAAGGAGGATTTTACCTGTAGGATATCCTGAGTTTATTTGAAAAACTATCATTTATTTACTCAACCGTCACTATTTAATAAGTTCCTGTTTGCTATCAAAATGTTCTTCATTAGCAAACTGGATTGCTGGGAGTATGTTCACATATAATTGGTTCTTTGTGTAGGAGGGTGGACAGGATGGTCTGAGCCAGTAATGTCCGGTATTGATGTTAAGATGACGGATAGTGCGGCCAATGCTGGCAAGAATGGAGACACTTCAAGTGAGGAAAGGGATCAGGACGAGATAGAGGGAGTTGAAAGTGATGAAGACGAAGCTACATTGCTAGCTAAGCTTGGGATAAGTTCCATGGATGCCGGAAAAGAGTTGGAAGTCACAGATTCTGAGGTCTGGCTACGATGGGCAACGGAGGAGAGAAAGCGAGCCTGTGAGCAGTGGTTACCTATCCACGGTAGGCATTATTCCCCTGATCAAGTTCAGAGCACAATTTAATCAACTTATCTGCCATATTTGTTAGTGTTAGTTATTGTTATTTGTTATTGGGAGTGCAACATATTGCTTGCGAAATTTTCTGTACTATCTCAAGCTTAAGTGGAATTAATGTGCATGATTGCTTACTTGGCAGCACTAATGGAGAGTGATGAGGAGGATGAGCAGCTAGCGAGGGTGATAATGTTTGAAGATGTCAGAGACACTCTTGTTTCTATCTCTTCTGTACAGGCATGGTGCCGCTTGATTGGGCATTTTCTGGAGTTTTGTAACATACCTCTTACCAATTGGTGAGTTTCTTTTTCTTCTGACTTTTGTTACTTAGCCAGTTTCCGTGATTTCTACGTGTTTATTTTGATTTCGACCAGCTTGGGGCTGTCTTGACTGCTTGTCTAAGTATTACATATAGCTTTTGACACTGAGAGCGAGGATGCTTTGGAGGTAGTCATTACCCTAGGTGGTCTCTTTCGTAAGCTGAGAACCTGTAACGGTAGTCTGATTATTCTACTTCAAGGAAAAGAGTTTCTCAAACAAGTTTGAGTTAAACATTTCGCTTGTGGTAGAAAGAAGAATGGGGGTAATTGAGGATTCGACAAGATTGAGTTAAAGTGCTCGAGTAATATGCCTTATGGGATTTATGGATCAAATAATGTGCTTTTTTGTTGCTCTGTAGGTGTTCTAGTAATGACTTCAGCTTACAACAAGGCATTGAAGGACTGGAGTCTTTGACATGTCCTTTAAGCAGATTGCGAGGAATCAGATCCGTTGGTAGTAATGTATCGCAATATGTAGTTGGAAACAGAGAAAGTCAGGAAGTGAGACGAGGGGAAACGATTTTAAAAACTTTGGTTGGAGAACCAGAGTGGTTTCTAGAGAGCTTTGATCGAACTCAATTCGTCTGCAACGCATTACTGCTTCTTCAGTCAAGCTTTTCCAATTCTCTAGAAAGGAGGCACTGGGACCTTACCGAAACGCTGCTAGTTGTCCAGTGTTTAGCATCGGACAATGGGGTGAAAACTTCTCGTAATATAGCGAAGAGGCTTCTGAAGATCCATCGTCAGGTATTCTTCTTACAAGTATCCAGTTGGCATTTTTAACAAACTAACTGATAATGAGGTAGTTCAGGCTATCAGAATACCCTGAGTTGAATCTTATGGATTGTCTACAGGATATTTCGTTATGGACTTCGTATGCTTTGGTAGAAGGGGCCTCGGGTCACATGGACACTGCAAGAAAAGTCCTTGATACAACTCTTGCCTCCCTTCCAGCTCTACAAAATGTATGGTACCATGCCATCTCCCCCTATCTTGAAATTATTAATTATTTATATACATTTAATTACTTATTAAGGAGGTTGTAATTTCTTCCTCACATACGTAAGTTTGTTTTATTCACAAGATTGAGATTGGTGGAAAATGAGTGGATTTGGTATCTGGTCTCCAACAAAAATATATTTCACCTACATGCACATGTCTAGGATAGACGAGGATACCAATTCTGATAAACATCCAAGGAAGTCTTCATTAGAATTAACAGAAGTGGATTCACTTTTAGCTCGAACTAGTTGAAGTATTTATGAAGGTGTAGAGGAAAATGAAATCCTCACACAATTTCGAACTATGCAGGAGATACAAGAGGACGCTCCCTTCCTATTTTTGGCATGCGCAGACATGGAAGTGACTCATGGATCCAAGACTCGTGCTTTGTATGTTTTGTGCCACTTTGGATCCGGAATACCGTACACTCCTTCAGCTAATTTAGAAGATCCAATCTCACCTACCTTAATTTTGAAGGCAAAATTAGGATTTCAACAGCATCTTCAAAATGTACGTAGGGGACGAACGTATGTACGGGACACAGCTTCTTTCGGTTCGAAGCCCGTTTTTGGAGGAGCCCTTGATGAGCGAGGGGTGGCTGTGATTGCTTGTTGTGCCCTGTTCGAGGAATTAAGCTCGGGCTGGGAAGCTGCAGTCTCTATATTTGAGGAGAGCCTTGCTTTTACTCTTCCAGGTATCCTCTCGATGTGCCTTCGGTTTTTGGTTGTAATTTTCTCCAGAAGCACAGAATTATGTGGATATTCCGTAGACTACACTGAATGCTAATCAACTTTTGCAAGGTAGTCATGTTTCCGTGATAGTCGATCGCATGTATTTATCTAGGCATTTAAATGTAATAGTTTTCCTCTGCTGACGCATTAAAAAATATGAAAATTTGTTCACGTTGTTCCGCCCAACAATCAGCTCTTGGATACAAGCGTCAGCTGTGTCAATAATTGTTCCAGATTCCTTCGGATTAGTTTCGTATTTATGCACAGTTCCTGCCTCCCAGACCTAGGTTGAACACGTTTTAGCCGATCCATGCAGGTAAATGGAAAGAGAGCAAAGAGTGTGAATCATTGATGGAACGTTACGTCGGCTTACTACGAAGGAGCATGCCTACTGCAAAGCCTGCTCAGGTTCGACGCTGTGCAATGAGGGGGTTGTCGGAATATCCACATAATTCTGTGCTTCTGGAGATGCTTGTCCAGTCGTCGCCATCAACATACAACCTGCGCCGCTATTTTGACGATTATACGAGACGGTATGGTCAACGAAGTTGGTTTGTTAGAAAAGATTTTGCCTACATCTGCAAGCTTTTAATTTCACTCACGATTCCGACATTTTGTTATACCAGTTCACGTTTCTAACATGTTTATGCCGTCTCCTGCAGGAATCCATCAACATTGCTGTGGTCATTTGCCCTCGCTACAGAGCTCGAAAATATTGAGGGGAATGCAGCTCGTATTCGAAGCTTGTTTGAGCGAGCCCTAGAAACAAAGGCTACACAAACTTCTGTTGTACTGTGGCGCGCATACCTTGCTTATGAATGTAAAATCAATCGAAATATCGAGAGCGCACGTCGCATTTATTTCCGAGCTATACATGCTTGTCCGTGGTATGCCCTTTTATTCAATTTTTGAGATGCCGTTTTGGGATGATTTTAATATGTTATTAGAAAGTGTTGTATACATACCTGTTGGACAAGTCTGTTGTACAAATAATAGAAAATATGGTGAATGGAAGGTGTTGCATGTTAGTATCGCAGTATCCTTCAACAACGAAGGACACTTGATTCTTTGTTGGTTACGCAGTACCAATCTATTATACTCTTCTGTTCTAAATGCGAAGGCTGAATGGTTCATTGCAGGTCCAAGAAACTATGGCTGGACGGGTTTACAATGCTAAGTGATGTTTTGACAACGAAACAGCTTGCTGAATTCCAAGAGATAATGAAGGAGAAAGAGTTGAGAATTCGCACTGATGTTTTTGAGATCCTACTTGAAGATGCTGAAGACGATTCTTGAGGCGGTGCATCACAGATGCTTTTTCATTCAATTTTGACTTTTTTTTTCGGAGACTGCTGAGTTTCAAATTATTTGTGGATAGAAAGATTTTATTTAAAACTAGACTTCGTACAGTACACAATTTGGTTAGGCTTTGATTCTAAGTTCGTCTTGGACATGGATCGACTTACATGCCTCATACCTGTTAATATTAAGATGATTTAACAGCTAATTTACTGACTCTATTGCTGTCCATGCTTATGGTGTAATTTTGAAGTTCTCATAAAGTTTTCTATTTGCATGAGGAAAGTGTCATTATCGGGCCACTTTATATTAGGGTTTTTCTGTAAAAAGCTCTAGTTTTCCTAGAATTTCAGAAGATGCCCTAAAGTAAGGTCTCCTTTTGGATGTGCAGTCACACCAATTACATAGAGAGGTATGCATGTCAATTTCACAATGGTGGAGTTGTAGACTCCTTGGAAATCCTTTGTGAAATACCAAGGTATGGATAGAGTACAATGCCCTTCTTGATGCCTCAAAGAAATAGTTATTCAAACAAGTGAATTTCAACAATACTTGTGCATCTCATTTTGATAGAAAGAATGCACTCACATTTACAATCAACCAAAAAAAATTGTGGATATGATAATTGGTGACAGGTTATTCAATGCTAATGACAAGGAATTTGCATTGACATGTGAATGGGCACTCTTGATTTTTAAGCTGCTTGAAGATGCAAATGTTAACCAAGTAGAGCTTGGTTGAAAAAAAGACTTGAACCAAGAAGCGTACAAGGTGGAGATTAAATCTTCTTGTTTGTTTTGTCTCGTGATCAGCTTCATCTTATGTGGAGCTTTCTTTCAAATGGTGGCACATCTCGTGGGATAATCTAAAACCATGTTATACATAAGTTGCTTCAATGTGTACAATGAAGATTGCATTGCTTCATTTGTGAGAGTGGTTTGTACTATGAGCCTATAGAAAATCACAAAGCTACTTCACATCTAATGGGTGTTTCTTATTGCTCTTGATGTTAGCTCAAATTAAGGCACCTCATACCTTGACTTTTGAATTCAATTTGAGCATCAAACTAAGGTGTACAACCTCTACCTTCTTACCATTCTTTTCTTTGATTGCAAGACAATCAAAGTGCTATTTGCTACAAGTTCAAAACTTATGGATGTTTTTTTCTCCAAAATAGAGGACACCACTTATTGGAATTAATACAGATGGCGAACAAATGATGGTAGGGCGATTTTCTAGTGTTGCAACAAGGATGATTGAGGCAAGTGTTGATGGAGTTATTTGGGTGTGTTGTGTTCTATATCAATTTGACTTGGTGGTCCAAGCCGAGTATGTTAAGTTGCATGACGACTAATTCATCAACATCTTTATGGACCTTGTATCTTACCTTCATCAGTAGTTTAATTTCATTGCGAGGATAGATTGTACATGCCTGAAATTTGTGGACATGCAATGGTCATCCATAAAAAAATTATCCAATTTTTTGCAACAAGGAAGCAGGATGGTTGTCTATAAAAAAATTGTTTGACTTATTGTGGCAAGGGAGCGAGGTTGTCGTCTATGAAGAAATTTTCCAAATTTTTACCGCAATGGTGTATATTGATTTGCATGTATCTTGGCCAAAAGAAGCCCATATGTATTCCCTCTACTTAATAGGTGGTATTGCTTACATTCAACAATGTTGAGAAAATGATATCCACCATTGTGACATGCTTACAAGGACTCAGCACCTTCTTGAATGATTTGAAAGTCTAGCTCAAAGGCTTCATTTAGTCGCTTGTGTCATTATACAAAGTACAAGGTCTGTACAATATTGACTTTGGCTATGACTAATGGTGCTTCAAACTTGGTCATCTATAAATCTTGTTGTATAGCTCTCACAAATGCAAAGGTCTTTATTCAAGACCAAGGCAGCTTAATAATGAGCACATTAGCTATGCTACTTGCAAGTGAGGCAATGGCTATGGTTTGTTTATTGGCAACCTTGTTTGCTAGTCTCATTGACAATATATCTATAATTATTGCCCAATGCGATTGTATCAACAATGTCTACAATGGCAATATTTCCAAAGTCTTATCCTACAATTTGTATGGGCTACGGATGTCTTTATTGTGCATTTCTATTTGTTGGCTTAAGATGTGGTTAAAATTGGTTGGGTGGGACATTCAATCAATTGAAGATATTGAGAACCACCACCAAGCCATAGTATGTGCCTACCACAATGAGACTACCTTCAAGAATGCCGTTGACAAGTGCAATGATTTGTAAATGGATTTTTATGTCAGATGGGCTCATTATGATGACTAGTTTCAATGACTTCAAAGGTTTTGTGAAAGATTAGCCTCCATGTTTTTTAATACCAACATTATCGAATCCGACTTCTCTATGATTAGGTAAAAGAAGGACAAGTATTGGCAATGCCTTATTGACTTCTTACTTGAGAGTATTTTGTACTGGAAGCAATTTGATAAAGTCTAACAAATTTGACAATGATGGATGTTTTTGGATGGCTTTGTAGAAAACTTTTATCCATCCTTAATTTATCTAAAATGAAAGATTTTTATGATCCTATAATAAGCTAAATTAGGTATTTCAAGGTTTTTCCTAATTTAAAGTGGCTTGGTTATTATATTAAATTAACTTATTTTAAAAATAATTACATCAAATAGTAATACTTAGAACTTTGATATGCAACCATATTTATTTATTCATTTACTTATTTAAACTATGTTATTATTTATTTTGTTTCAATTACATGTGATTCATAACATTATTATACTATCTTATGTGGATTATTAATCAATTTAAGCCAATTTATACTACCATGTGGTGATAATTGTTTTTGTTATATTAAATTAAAGATTGAGACTCAAAATAGATTGTATGTCAATCTTCCTAACATGAAGCATCATATCTTGAATATTATTGTATGCATTAAAAGAGTAAGTAATAGAACATATAATGCAATTTTATCATGCTATTGATTATTTGAAATAAAATTTGTGATATCCATTGTATAATAAGATTTTATGTGATTGACAAGGTATAGAAAAAACATTCAAATAAATACTTGGAAATAATAATTTAATATAAATAAATAAATTATATTAGTGAAGTTTTAAGGTTTCAATTGTTATTTTTATATTCATAATCATTTCTCCTTTGTAAATATAATTCAAAAGAATGCTGAATTTTGATAAATGTGATTTCAAGAGTGTCTAAAGTTTGAATTAATGAATAGGAATATTAGTTTGTAGGTGTTTTTGCTCACATGCATACTAGTAGTGATCACATAACAAATAAAATAAATCATAAAATTTGTTATAAATGACAAACGATTATTCATAACATTTAGTGTGGCTGGATCATAACATGATATACTGTTGTTTAAGATTATGAGTAGAATCTTCTATGTAGCTAAAAAACAAATTAATGAATAATATTACAAGATTTCTGTTTTATAATGCATAAAATGACAAAAAAATGATATTTAAGTGGATGCACACTAAATTTCCATGTGAATGAGAGATATAAAAGCACTGATACATAAGCACTGTTAATATTTCTGCGTCAGGTAAGGTTGTGAAAAGCATGCATACAAGCAGACAGGAAACATCATGAGGTGTGATTATGTGTTTTCAAAACCAAAGCAAGAAAAGAGTCACTTTTCAATGATACATGCATTCATCATCGACTAAATGAGCACCGACAACAGTACCGACAAAGCGCGAAGATGCGTTTTCAGTTATGAAGATGGAGGTTCAATGCCTCTTCAAACACATAGAACATGAAGGTTTACTGAGTTACATGAGATTCGACGAGACCTTGACTTGAGAACTCGCGAACCTGAACAACCACACTCTGCAAGAGAAAGAACTCGCATCGCATCGCATGAAGTTTTTTTTGCCTTTTTTTTTTCAATTTTTCTTCCTATCTAATCCGAGAAATTCACTCTTCTAAGTTGACGTTGTCTCGCTTTTATTACATTTCACTCGAGTCTCGAATCCCCGAACTCTTCTAGCCTACCGACAAATTACAAATTTCTCGCTGTCGAGACGGCTGCGTTTCGAAGCAGCAGCATTATCTAAACTGGAAAGTCTCTCATGAGATGATGAATATCAACGGCCTCGCAATCAAAAACGCCAGAAGGCTGGCGTCCACAGCATCTGTGAATGGACCACCGGATTTGATAGCTGATGAGGTCGATCGATTGTTCGTGGCACTAAACCTGATCGAAGCTTACATAGTAACCTCCGGGCTGAGGTCGTAGATGATCCGTGCCTTCTGGAAGCTGAGCATTTGGGGCTTGCCAGTCTGCACAATTGTGAACACCACGTGGTTGACGTAGTCTAGGCCGAGAGCCTTGAGCTTCGGTCCCACGGCTGCTCTCCACACTCGGCCAGGATTGTACAGAGCCTGGCCAATGTGGGGGATGAAGTTAAATGTGCCTAGAAACTCAGGGCACACGGGACCGTCCGTGATGACGGCCTGTGGGAAGAAGACGTAGGCCTTAACGTGAACCTGATCGGTGATGTTCGGGATGAACAGGCCCGAAATTTCCAACACCTCCGTGCCCTCGCTGCGGCGCTTCGGACGCTTCAGGCGGAATGTGATGGGAGTGACAAACAGGGTCTCGTTGCCTTTGCTTACCCTTGTATCCTCAATCAGACTCTTGACTTGAGATTTTGTCAAGGGGTTGCAGTGGGGGACGGTGTGCTCCTTCCCGGCCTCCAGTCCGTTCGTGATCCATGGAGTTGGCATCTCCGCATATTTGTACCTATAAATAGAGAGAAAGCCATCATCAATTGGTGAATTCAGACAACCGCTTCACATCATAAGATTATGTGTGGTCATCTGAATGTAAATTTAGGATCTAATTTCGAGGAGTAACACCAGGCCCACATGTATGTACGTACCTGAGTTTTCTTGAGTCAAGGACTTGCGAGACCTTCATTTTGACGAGGTTCGCGTCCTCGTCATAGAACGTGAACTCTGAGTTCAGAAAGTCTGGGTCGGTGGGGTGGGTGCGCTGGCCGCCTGGGATTTTCGTTAGCCAGAGCTCCCAAAGTCGGTCGGTATTCGTGTGATGCGCATAAAATACAGGGTCGAAAGCAGAACGGCCGAAGTTCCCCATATCATCTCCGGGCCTGCGTCCGGGCAGAGGATCGACGCTGCCCACCCACGCGTGGATGGTACCATGAGGTTGATCCTCAAAGACTCCTGAACCTGCACCGCCGAAATCTCCCTTTCTGTAAGGCAATCCGTAGAAAAGAGAGGGAGTTCCACCGCCCAGGACGATCTGGGAGTAAGTTAGACGAGTGTTCTGCACTCGGAGAAAGTCCGATGTCTTGTTGGTACAACCGGTCCTAGTGTCCATATCAACGACAAACGGCGGCACCGAGCAGTTGTTACGGTTCACATCGTAAAGCGGGGACTTGGGGTTGGCGTAAATCTCCGGGATGGTGTTGCCAAAGGGAGGCTCCGGGGATTGGTTGTCCCAATTCCAGTAGGGAAGCGCAAATGTCTCATCGTCCAGTATTTTTGCCAGGATGCGCTCATGCCAGTAGATGAACATACGGTGCCATGGGAGGAAGAACCAGCCGTTATGAACCTCCAACGGATATTTATGACCTGGGAAGTAGAGACCGTTGTCGCAGTACAAGCAATGAAGGTTCATCTGATTCTTTAGGGAACGAGGGTCTGAGTCTGGGAGCTCCCTGAGTATCTTGTACGCCTTCTCAAGCTTCTTGACATAGGCTTTGTCGAGATGTTGTGCTGGTTTGCGGATCCTCGTGGGTTGGTCCTTAGGGAACTCGAATGATCGAATTCCGGGTTTTCCCGTATATGGCCTTGGCATGCAGCATCGCTCAATAGTGTTGCAATCCTCGGGGAGATTGGCAGCAGGAAGGGCCCTGCTTTTTCCAGTTGTTGCCTCGACCAGAGTGAAGCTCACCGACAGAACAAGTACTAGAGCAGCGCACTTCATAGCTGAGAACGACGGTTCGGAGTGTCGTTGGCTGCGCCTGCATTGATCCATGGCATCTATTGATCTGTTTTCCTGGTTCCGCCCGCTACACTGCAATTAACTCCATTGAAAGCCGTGGGGTATATTAGATTGGTGTCGACCGAGTTAACTTCAGATGTTTGCAAACCTAGTCCTCAACATGGACCTAGATGGTGGACAACAGGAATTTTCTGAGGTGCATGACATGAATTTGTAAAAGTGCTTACTTATGAGTGTGCATGTCTATCTAGTCGTGCAGAAATCAATTAAGATATCATAGAGGTCAACACTTACATGTATACGGACGTAGGTGTGTTCCTATGCCGCTCAACAATTGCATCAGACAACGGCAATCGAAGCACTCAAATCGTTCTCAAGTTCGTCCCAATAGGGAAGCCTAGAAAAGCTCCGCTTCACATCTCCAGTAAAGCATCTGCGGAACTGACACCTCACCGATGGAGCTATAATTTGAGAATACCAGTGCGCCCTGCTGGTATATATACACCAATCCTTGGTTCATTCGACTTGTGAGGTAATATCCCTAGAATTGGGCTTTATTATTCATGTAATACAAAAACAGCCTGGCAAGATCCACGCACGAACAGTAGCCCAAAACAGTGCAACTTGGCAGCATCGATTTTGTCAGCGCCCCAGCTCCAGTTTCCACCTCCCGTGCTTTCACCGCGTTTACCGAGTGTTCTTTACTCTGCAACGGTGAATTACAACAAGTTCACACTGCAAATATTTCTCAACGTCTCTAATCTTCCCCTGTTTTGATACGACAGCTCCTCACGATCGCAACGACAGTATCCGTCTACCTCTCTACTAACAAGGTCAAAAGCGCAGCCCGGAAAATCTGAGCCTCCCGGTTGGAGCGAGTGGAACGATAGTCGGATCAGGTTACAAGTGGATGCCATTTTCCTGCATCAGTACTCCGTGTACCCATGTTGCAGCGACCACAACCTGAGAATCTGAACCCGTTGTTCAGACTAATCTCTAGTCTACTAAATTGGGTGGCGGTTTCCCACCGATTATATCGTAAGTTGACTGGGCTACAAGCATATCTTGGGGGAGACTTGGTTACCAGTAATTGTGGAATTCGGGGTTCCTTAGTGCTTAGAGGTCGAGCAGTAAAGACCAGCAGACTTATCGTGCACAGGCAACATGGTGGGACGGTGTTTGACACGGCACAAGCCCACTTGTAACTCTTCTCAGTTGGAGCTCTGTTGCTCTTCTTTTTTTCCCAGACATCCACGAACATCAGGAACCTTTAGCATCTCGGTGGTTTCCGCAGCGAATTTAGCTCGAATTGGACATTGTGGGTGGATTTTGGCTTGACCAGCGTAACCATTGATCTATTCCTCCACTATCTGAACAGTTTTCTAATGCACACAAACTTCTACTGGGTCCACGCCATTATCATAACGATGGCACTATTTGCACCTATTTGGCGACATCTTTAAAAATTGAACGTTTCTGCCGCTGCAACGATGCCCTGCAACAGATGATCCAAATAGACTCCTCAACGACCATATTCGGCGTTTTGTGACGATGATTAAGACAACGGAAATGTCATTGTGTCTTGGTCAATAGGATTAAGTTTGCAACTTGGCGCTTTTCTTAATATATGCTGATTATTGATCATAGGCTGAACACTCGTTCATAGAATTAATCATTCCATACAGCCTACTTAGTGCAAATATAGCAAAAATTTACTAACTACACTTACTTTGAAATCTTTTAAATTAAAAGGATTTACTACTTTACCGTTGCTTTCACCTGAAGGCTTTGTAAAGAACCTACATTAGTTTTGTTTATACCGTTACATTTACTTTGCACGACTACAGCTTTTCAAAAAAAAAAATCCTATTCTTCAGAAAATGATTGTTGAGTTTGAGTTTGTGGAAGCGTGACTATATATTGGAGTGTTGACAAAAAAAATTGTGAAAAGCATTGAAATAAAAATGATTCGTATAAAAAAACTATGACTGAAAAATAAATAAATTAATTAAACTGAAACTCTGCATGAATTTTTCTCAAGATCTAAGAATTTTAAAATGTATCAACAAAAGGAAATGAAACAAGTAACATAGTATCTGTATTAGACTGAATATTTTATACATGTCTTGATCTTGTAAACTTGCTTAATTGTTTTTATTTCATTTGATCATTTCAACTGTATGGTTCAGAATCCTTGGTTTTCCACGATTCATTCTCAATTGAACATAACTACAATACAGTCAAATTATATTTGTTGTTGAAAAAACACAATAAATCACTACTCATGAACAACTCTGCCTGAAGGAAGAAAAATAAATAAATAAATAAAATAAAATAAAAACTATCACGGAGAAAATGACTCTGATGTTAAAAATAAAAATAAAATAAAAAGATAAACCATGTGCAAAAAAATTGAGAATATCTCATGCTAAAGAAGCTATCATGATAAAATTTAATTTTTAGAATTTTTTTCAAGTCATTAAAAATATTAAATTCCAAGAACACCTTTACGTTATTCATCGATCAAGCAAAGAGAGGATATTTTTACAGTTGGGATTATCCACACACCTAAACAACACATTTTAAATACTTACACACTGAGTTTTCAGTTGCACAACAAGTGGCAACTAAAACATAATACATTCTAATCTACTACTTTAATATATATATATATATATATATATATATAATATTTCACCAAATAAAGATACTCTTTACTGCAAAGGACTTTGCTTTAATATTAGAAAACTGTAAAGTGGGAAAGCAACAACACCAGTAATGATATAATTTCCCGTGTTTTTTATTTTACTTTATTTTGCTCTTTGTTTTTCTTTCATTTTTAGTAACTTTATTCGCCTACGTGGCAAAGGACAACTCCGAATAAGCACCCAGGCTGTGGAGTTTGACTTTGGGTCCGAGAAGAACTGCAGCGAACCTTCCGGGTCCTCGGGTATTTGACTTTGAGCCCAACCCAGGTCACACGGGAAAGGGAGGACAAAATTGGAGACCTCGGTCATCCCCGTGGCCCACGGATTCACAAATCGCTTTGACCGAAACCAGAGTCGCCCATTCAACACGGCCGGCGGGGATCGATCGCGGTCCTCTCTTCTCATTCACTAGATTGGAATTCTATCGTGGGGTTGATACTCTGCAAGGCTACTAGTGTATGGATGAATGAAAAATGGTGAATAGATGAATAGTTGGATGGATGAGTGCTGATGCATTATGCTGTTTCGGAACGGATCAAGAATCAAAACGAAACAAATTACATATTTAAAATTAAACGGTATATATATATATATATATATATATATAAATAAACAGAAACAATACATTTTGTGAGAATGGGGCCACGTGGACTTGGTCTTAAGGCGTTGACCCTAATCCCTTTAGTTGTCAATGTGGCCACCCACTTCATGAGATAAAAACGTGGTCTAAATTCGTTAAGTAACCAAATGTTATGAAAACATGGTGGAAGAAGAGAAGAAGAATTAATTAATTTCTTAAATAATTAATGTATTAAATGACCACCCCAATTATATAAAAGAATAGTTCTCTCTCTTTCGTGCCTTTCTTTTCACTTCCTACGCCGACTTTGACCTTTGCATTGAATTTGAAAGTGGAGCTGACATTAGGTCAGCGGGGGTATCAATAAGTCTTCCCCGGGACAAAGTCCTTGACCCGGGATCCTCTCAACGGGCCACCCGTGCCAGATCCCCACATGCCGTGTGAACGAGCTCCCCAGAGGTTGACTTGCTGTTTAAATTCTGCTTAATTTCATTTGTTTTTCATAAATTTTACGTAAAGTGTCAGTTGAAAGTGTTGACATTCCACTTCTTTAATCAATTTTAGTGGAGTAGAATAGAAAAAATAGAAGATAAGTCTTCGATTATTCAGGTTCCAATCTAATCTTTAGATTCTTTGTTCGTTATCATATTTTCATCTTGAACATTGTAAATACATGAATCGGGAGTGAGATTTGCTGTGGCGACTGAATTATGAAGTTTCCTTTCCTTGTGTGATTTGACTGTGTCAATCTAGAACGGCTTCATTTGAGCAGCGTCAGCACGTCACGAAGCTGCGCGCAGAAAAAAAGATGGAGGAATTGAGGCGCCACTCATGAGAACGTAAGAAAAAAGTTTCTTGAGCTCACAACTCCACTCAATCGTCATGCTGACGCGCATACCAACTGTAGCCCGGGTCTGCAGATGAGTATCGTACGAATGCGAGCATAATTCTCGACAATTGCGTCGACGTGGATCCTGTCGATCCAGTGCGTTTCATAATCTGAAAGCTCACCTACTTGAGAATCCTTCATTCACTATTACCACTTGCTTGTGGATCCCACTGAAACTGTACACCCAAGGTCGTTGTAGGAGCATTTGGATACCGGTGCAGAGGAATGAAACCAGTGGATCGGAGAGAGTTCTATTCTTGCGCTTGCGCCAATAGTGTCAATTCTCAACGCTCGGGCATATTCAACTCGCTGGCTACAGAAGTTGAGGCTCATCGAGGTTTTCACAGAAAAATGAGAACACATGAGGAAGCACCTCGTGCCCTTTAATTGAGAAGTTGAGCAATGCACATGCGAGGCAGTTACTATGTGATCTAGGGTTCTTTGCAAGCGTCGAGTTTATCGTGGAGAAATCCAAACCACTGCTGTCAGCCCGATGATACCACCATCGCATACTGAAATCGATCAACACAACTCTGATTCGTGCAAACAGATGCACATTAATTCAATTGACGATGTACCTCTTGGTTCCGCGACTGGACCGGCATGCCGCAAAACCCGCCCCAGCTCCAAAATCCTTTCCAAAACCCTAAAATATTTCCGGATATGCTTCAAATTACTTCAGAGACCGATCGCGCTCACAAATCCATCTCTCGCAATTGAAGCTACTGCGACCAAAAGTCGCATCCTCGTCGGCCCGTCCAGAGCACCACAGGAAGCTACTGTCATTGGATGGATGCTAACTTAGCTAATTCATCCTTATTTCATCCACTGTTCATTCATCCATGAATGCCCTGTCAATGGCCTGGCATAGGCCTCAATTGTCAATGACGGACCATAACGAAGGAAATTTCGTGAACGCGGTGTGAATAGAGATAAAAACTTTAATAAATTAAAAATAGATAAAGTGTGGTTAACGATAGTTAATGAAATATTTTGTAATAATATAATGTCTTTGAATACTCATACAATAAAAGAATAACATGCAATATTGGAAAATAAAATAGAACCTTGACATACTATTAAAAAATTAAATAAAATAATCATATATATATATATATATATATATATATATAGATATATGACACGCATTCCAAGTTTGTTGAACCATGACAGCAAGTGATCTAAAATAGAACGAAGTTAAAGTATTATTTTAGGGTTAGGGTGACTGTGGCTGCAAAGGAAGTACTCAAAATTGGAATTGAATCCACAATTATTTGTGGCACCAAAAAGAAGAAATTTTTACTTGTT